TTAGTCATTCCCTATATATCACAATCACTTTAGTAAACTGAAATTTTGTGAAAACCATCATATCGTATATATATATATATTGATTATGATTGCAAGTATAAAGGTAGAATTGAAAAACAGTACAAAGTTATTTCAATAAAATATCCATATAATGAAAACTTCTATATAGTGTAACCACATGTCGTGGTGATGAATATCACTAGACGTGTGTCTAATCAGTCTATCTATTAAATGAATCACCTATAACAGAATTAATCATTTCATTCTCATAATCCGCCTTTAATTTACGTCTTGTAATATTTGTTTGGTCACCAATCGACATTGAACAATAATAGACAGATATTATTTATTTGTACCGTAAATACTATTCGATGAAGTTTTAAGCTGAAAAAAACCTTATCTCGCTACTCGTCAATTGTACTAAAAACAATTTTGCCTACAAACAATATCAATTCAGTTTAACAGTTGAAAATTGTTGTTTGTTTGTGATATTCACCTAGTACACACGTATCAGTGGGAACTGATTGGTTTTAGGTGGCAGACATTGTTACAAAATACAGGGTGCTCCAAAAATCTGCCGAAACAGTAAATTCATATAACTCCATTATTTATCAAACTTAGTCGATTAATTATTTTTAAATGATACGTATCTCTGTGAAGTTTTTATTTATATGAACAAACTGCACAAATACTATTCAAAGTTCTCACTATTGAGTGAAGTACGAAAATCATCCTTTTTTCAATTTCAGAAAAACACACTGTATAATGTTTCTCTATTAATGCTTCAGTTTCTTGCGGTTTTTTATGGCGTTTATGTGCCTAGATCTTGCGCTCACTTGGATATGCGTTTGTTTTGATATTCCACTGCAAAAAAAAGCCTAACAGTGTCAAGTCCGATGATAATACAGCTCATGAGATCGCTTTAACTTTTCCTACGATGACTGGTGAACCAGGAGGAGATGAACCGATCTCATGAGCTGCATCATCATCGGACTTGACACTGTTAGGCTTCTTTTTGCAGTGGAATATCAAAACAAACGCATATCCAAGTGAGCACAAGATCTAGTCACATAAACGCCATAAAAAACGCAAGGAACTGAAGCATTAATAGAGAAACATTATACAGTGTGTTTTTCTGAAATTGAAAAAAGGATGATTCTCGTACTTCACTCAACAGTGATAACTTTGAATAGTATTTGTGCAGTTTGTTTATATAAATAAAAACTTCACAGAGGTACCTATCATTTAAAAAAAATTAGTTGATTGAGTTTGATAAATAGTGGAGTTATATGAATTTACTTTTTCGGTGGACTTTTGAAACACCCTGTACATTTCCTATTGTTAAATATTTACGCTGTATAATTATAAACATATTCAATTGCTTGTTGGTTTTACTAGATGAATAAAAAGAAATCATACGGTAAGAAATGATATCTCACATATCGATACTGTACCAGAATTAGTCAAACTTTTAAATGATGATTACGCTAATATTGTTGTTGTGAAACAATTATCCATTCGTATAGCATTGTCAAAGTTACATTCATACAATATAAGTGTATTAATATGGCGTATTAAAGCGTAAAACCTAGAAATTATGGTATATAAATAATATTAATAATTTGATTCAACTGACTTTTTTTTAAATGTTTACCAAAATAAAAGTAACTTAGAGATACTCATATCCTTTGTATTATTTCGTAAATATACAAATTTCTCAACAATCATCAGATCATTTATGATAATTCATCATACAAAACTCAGTCATAGCAACATATGAATTCGAACAACTTTTCCAGAATTGCATCTGGATTGGTCCGGGTTGAACTATAAAACTGGCTAGTTTTTATCAATTTTTAGGATACTGAAGCTAGTGTAGTATATTTTATTCGTTTTCCTTGATTTCTATTGTTTTAAAAGTTCTAAAATATGGGCTTGAAAATCTCCAAATGACAAATTTCTAGCCATCATCATAATCCTAACTCTAAATATTAAGCTCACGGAATCGCCTTCTACAATATAAGGATCTCGGATTATGCTGAATGAATTAATTGTGATCGAGAAAAGTTAGTCAGTCATAAGAAATTAAATTCTGTAACAAGTAAAGATTTTTCACCTCGAAATTTCGAGCTCATTTTTCTACACTACTGTTGATCAACTGTCAGAAATTCTTAATGGCTTATAGTTTCCAGTTCATCCTTTCAATACAAAAACATGAGAAACGATTCTATTCTATCGAGAAAGTTATGCAAACATATCAATTCTTATAAAGAAATTATATCTTTACTAAAGAAAATCAGATAAAATAAAGCATAGATATTGTTCAACATCAGTTACTGTGAATTACTAGATGAGAAATTTTGAAAGAGTTCTTCCTCCATTCTTAGTATTATTATATATGGAACGTGACAGACTAAAATAGAAATTGTTACTATTAGAAACTCTAAAAGTTGTACGAGTAATTTTATTTGACAAAAATCAGTTTATTGAAACCGAGACTTATAACATAACAGACAGAAAAAAGATTCAAAAAAAAAACTTCAATATAAAATTCGTTATAATCTATGCTAGGCTCATAATCAGAATTAGTTTCTCTCAAAAAAAAAACAAACAAAACTTCTGAATAAAAATTCGCATAATTTAATATTAATGCAGGTTCATATTAACATAAATTATTTAAAGATAGATGTTTAGATTTAATAAATAGGCTATGCATTAAAATGTGTAAGATTTATTTCGAATATTTTATTCATTTCATATTTTCAAGATCTAATATCAATAGAAACAAGTGAAAGAATGAATATTTTGCGTAAAATCGCAAGAGAATAGACATACAGTTGTACATACAAAATACGAAAAACTAAAACTCGTTTATCAACGTAATCGATAGTAAATATCATTTTAATTCGTTATTTATTTTAAAAGAATTTAATCATATGTTATATGAATGCTGGTCTCACTCGGTTCATTTCAAAAATGTTTGACTTGGATTTTTTATTGCAAACGAAATATTTAAGCCAGATAGTTAAAATAATCACTATAACTGTGCCAATAGGAATAACAGTAGCTAAAATAATAACATAAAGTTTGACAGATGATGTAATTTGAACATCATCTATGGTTGTTGTTATATAAGAAACACTAGTTGTTGAAGTCGGTTCAACATTTCCAGTTGTTAGATCAATTGATGTTGTAGTGGACGTAAACATTTTCGTAGTTGTTGTTGCTGAAATTTCACTTATTGTTATTGTTGTGCTTTTCATGGTAGTTGTCGTCATACTTGGAATTGCCGTAGTACTTGAAGTTGTCGTACTAGTTCCACTTGTATTTGAAGTTGTAACGGTACTTGACATGGTAGTCGTACTTGTAGTCGCAATCGTGGTCAAAGAAATCATTGTTGATGCAGAAGCCGTTGTAGTAAAAATAGTGCTTGGCATTTCCGATGTACGAAACTATAGAAAAAGGTTACGATGATATACTATTAAGATCGTTGTCGTTATAAAATCGTTTGTACTTATTAGTCAAGAAAATATTTCCAGAGAACTCTCAAACTAATTTTGATAAATAATACAAATATCTACTTATCGAAAAAATTTCTACATTAATTAACTAATCATTTGTGATTTTATTATATCATACTAATATTTATGTAATTATCTGTCGTCGTCTTACAGAAAAATGCTAAATTAGAGATGCGCGAGTACGGGTACAAATTGCACTCGATCAATGGACGACACTTCTTTGCTTACAGAAACATTCGTACACATCATGCATTGGCATCTATTGGCACGTACCTGTACTGCTATGAACAGTCCAATACATGAAATCTAGAACTCTTGATTTTTTCAAAGGTATATACTTTGTTATGGCTATACATACACATGCAATACATGGTAGTATATGAGATTATACAATAAGAAACGCCAATACAAATTGTACTCGTATCGACACATCTCTAACACTTGTCAAAGGATTAGAAATTACTGTTGTCAAAGGTTCTGTTGTGGCTATACTTGTTGTTTGTTCAATGGATGTTTCTGGTACACTATATAGAAAGATAAGCAAAAACGTATAGAGAGAAAGATGAAAACACATTTTTCATAGTCTCACTTAGTTAGAATATTAACATCAGTTGTCATTGATTCTATTGATGTAATTAATATAGTTGCTGTACTTTGAGTTAAAGGTTCATCAACTATAACAAAATTTATTGATAAAAAGTTACCTTTCAAAATGTGTTCATACGTACAACAACTTCCTTGATGAATTGATATTTCATCGATTGCAATTCTGGATTGAAATGCAACAGACCCAAGTTTTTTCTCAAGTTCAAAGTAAATCTAAAAATAACAATAAACAAATACAAGAATAGTTGTACATCATTCAAATGAATAGATTACTTTGTATCCAGGTGCTGCACTAGTAAAATTCACTTGATGTTTTATCCATCCATTGAATGGACTACTTATAACATTGTCAATTATTTCGCTGCTACTTCCTGTTTCTTCTTTACGTATATTGATACTATGTTGCATTCCAGTTATATTTGGTAAATAATAATAATATGTCAGACATTGCTGGTTGGTACCATTAATACCACCCGAACCGATATTCAAAGGGAAGGATATGAATTTCGGAGCGACGAAATAATAAAAACCAAATTTCCCTAGAATATTTATTTGTATAAAGATTCAAAATATCTAAAGAAAATACTTTCATCGTTGTCAAAATTTACCTGGTGTGCATTTAGTATTTTGATTACTTGTTGTCGGACAGTAACCTCTATTACAAAAGAACATGTCTCAACTATAACTATCAACCTTGTATGGTAATATGCATAATTCTCCATTGCTTGTTGGTGTAACTTTCAAAAAAATAGAAAGCAAAATATTAATATCATAAAGAAGAAGTGATAATTCTTACGACTCGATGTTACGTCAGATAAAGGCGAAGTAGGTGGCTCATTACCAGCAGATTCCGCTGCATCACTAAGGAGCATTGCTTCGATTCCTTGTGTAGAAAAGCAGGTATTGCTTATAGTAGCATTATCAAAATTACATTTGTATAATATTTGTGCAGAAGTTGTTGTTATAAAAATAAAGGCTAAACATAAAATATATTAGAGTGTATAATTCATTATTAAAAATATTACCAAAAGAAAAAATTCGTGTTAAGCAGTGCATGATATTGAATTTTTCTTACACACATGCAATGGTTATTACATTTGTTTTTTCTTGTTCTGTACAAACGACTCAATAAATATATGTTATCTAAAACCTTACTAAACGATATCTTTTCATTTTTTCGAACTTTGCTTTTTTTTTATACTCTAGATTACAGAGGCATTCATCGTTATGAAAAATGCAGCAATATTGTTATTAACGGTATTAACTTATCTTTACTCGATTAAATAAAGATAAATAAAAGAATAAAAAAAACAGTTTCTTCCATTGGTAGATTAATAGGCAAGTACCTGGTAAAAAAAACGAAATTCTCTGTTAATCAGCGTTATTTCTTATCACTAACAATATTACGATATGTGACACTGTTAAAAATATGAAGAGATATAGACAAAAAAGACTGCCTTATTTGTATAATTTTTTTGTGAGCCATCTATCTAGTGGAGAAAAAGGCTAAAATTTATCTTTATTTTTTTATTTTAAAGAAACAATAAAAATAAATTAACATCTATAGTTACGATTATGATGACAATGATAATTTCATTCAGTTTATTTATTGTTTTGTCGTAAATCTGAAAAAACCTAATGAAAAAGCTATTGATAGAATTTGAACTGATGAACATACGGATATATAATTTAAATTTGATCTCATTTCAATTGATAGAAATGATAAATGTAATTTCATAATAGAAATAAATTAAATATAAATTTTTATGATACTATTTCTTCATATGACTCTATTTCAATGATAATACTTGAAATTCACCAAAAAATAATATTACGGAAGTTATTACAGTTTGCTGCTTTCATTTCTTTGAATAATTGATTTAAACATAAGTACATATATCGAAATTTTTCAGAACAAATTCAACCAATGAAATGTTATGCAATTTGAGAATATAAAATTTACTTTAATTATGTTTTTATATTTCCAGTATTAAATGGATGATAATAAATATTAGAATAAATATAGATAAATGTTTTTTTTAATAAAACATTTTTAAAAACATATTCATAGTTAATACTTTGTGTAATATTTTCAACGAAATAACAACAGATATTTAAAAAAATGAACGATAAGACATGAACTTTCATGAATTGATTGTTTTACTTTTAAGCAGATTAATTTGTTTTCAAGATGGCCATCTTGATACTTGATTAAGTTCCAATGTAGATGGTAATATTTTTTCCTTTGGACGAAACTTTTTAATCCAAACAGTAATCGCAATACTTGCAACTACGACAACAGGAATGACAGTAGCCAAAACAATAATATAAATATTATTGAATTCTGTAGATTGATTATCAGAAGTAGATGTAGTAATTGTTGTTAATGCAGTAGAAGAGGTAGTACTTGTAATAGATGTAATCGAACTGTCCGAACTAATGGTTGAAGACTTAAATAAAGGAAAAAAATATTGGAGACAAAATTTATAGATAAAGTTTTCTATGAATCTAATATCAAATGAATAGTAAAGATTTTGATTTTTATTATTTTTCTTATAATGAAGAATATTGATTTGAATTTCTTTTTGTTTTTTTTTTGTGAAAAATTGTAAGTCATGAAAAAAACAATATGAAATAGATTTGAATTTTATATTTAGTTTATTTCAATAAAGTTTTTATAGACTTTGTCAAATGGCGTTATTAAATTCTTTTCACAAAATTCTATTAATCAGTAAACATATATATGAACTCAACAAAAATGATAAAATATCAAATAGTCAAAATCACTTGGAAAAAATATAGAACAGGTTGCCAAGAACTATCTCAGATACAGTTTTTGACAATCTATACTGTACTTAATTATACATGTGGTTTACTGACATAGAAATACAACTGACTCAAACACAAGATTCAGCTCAGGAACTTGTACATATTTGTGATTTTTTAATTTAATAAGACACGTTTTTTTTCTCACAAGATCTATCTTATATATATTTTCTCGTAAAACTATTCAAGATAATTCTACTTTCATGCAAAAATAAATAAAAATCGTCGATATTTTTTCATTTTTCTCTTTATTACATTATCGATTGATTTTGTATAGCACAAAATAGTCAATTACAATAAGTGTTGAAAAATGTCACTTTTCAATAGTAGTTGAGAAGCAAGTACTATTTTCAATGAGATTTCTTTTTGTATACATTATCATTGCCTTGAAAAGCAATCTCTTCTGAAGCAACCTACATTCCAAAACGAATAAATAATTATTATTACGATATTTTAAAATTATTCAAAGTACTTAAAGACTTAAGTTACAATTATCTGAAAATCTGTTCGTGTCAATGTTCTAATCAAAAAACTTGGGAGAAAAATGCAATTTTCTTTTAAGAAAAGCACCCTACATATTTTAAAAAAACCCGAAAGAAAACTGCTCTACTGTCTGTTGTTATAGTTGAAATGCTCGATATTGTTTTTACCATTGAACTTATCTCACTTTCATATACTATAGATTTTTATGAATCGTTCGAATCATATATATTACTTCAGTTGATTGCTCAATTGTAGTTGTGATTTTTATCGATACAGTGGATGTTTTTACTGTACTGTACAATAGAAAAAAATGAGGAAATGTACATTATAAAAATGAAAATATATTTGTAATTTTACGTGGATTCTGTCTCACCATCGATTGTCGTTGATGCTATTGATGTTGTTAATATATTTGTTGTATCTTGAGTTACACGTTGTTGACCAACTAAAACAAAATTTATTGATAAAAAGTTACCTTTTGAAAGGTATTCATACGTACAACAACTTCCTTGACGAATTGATATTTCATCGATTGCAATTACTGTCGGAGATGTAGCAGGTCCAGATATTTTTTCAAAATCAAAGTAAATCTAAAAATAACAATAAACAAATGCAAGAATAGTAGTACATCATTCAAATGAATAGATTACTTTGTATCCAGGTACTGTACTAGTAAAATTCACTTGATGTTTTATTCATCCATTGAATGGAGTACTTGTAACATTATCAATTATTTCACTGCTACTTCCTGTTTCTTCTCTACGTACATTGATACTATATTGTGTTCCAGTTATATTTGATAAATAATAATAATATGTCAGACATTGTTGGTTGATATCATTAGTATTCCCCCAACGGTTATTCAAAGTGAAAGACACTAATCTCGGTGCTCAGAAATTAAAGCGACCAAATTTCCCTAGAATATTTATTTGTATAAAGATTCAAAATATCTAAAGAAAATACTTTCATCGTTGTCAAAATTTATCTGGTGTTCATTTAGTATTTTGATTACTTTTTGTCGGACAATTACCCTCGTTACAAAAATACATGTCCCAAGTATAACTATTAACATTGTATGGTAATATGCATAATTCTCCATTGCTTGTTGGTGTAACTTAAAAGATAGAAGGCAAAATATTAATATGATAAAGACGAAATGATGAATCTTACGACTTGATGTTACATCAGATAAAGGCAAAGTAGGTGGCTGACTATCAGCAATGCCCATTGTTTCATCAATAAGCATTCCTCCGATTCCTACTGGAGAAAGACAATTGTTGGATATAATAGCATTATCAAAATTACATTCATACAATATTTGTACAGAACTTATTAGTACGCAACTAAATACTAAATTCAAATTAGTCGAAATATATTCGATCAAGCATTATTAAGAATTTCAACGAAAAAAGAAATACCTATCAACCATTGCATCTTGTCAAATTCTTTCTAAACATGTGTAAATTTTATCATTTTTGTTCTTATCATTCTTTATATTTAATAATACACAAGAACATTATCTTAAAACATAACAAATAAAATTCTTTTCCTTCTTGCATATTGTTTTTTTTTGTAGTCTAAACAGATAAATGCGTTCACCGTTGTCGAAATACCTGTTACTATCATGTCTCATGTATAAGATATTTATTAGAAAGTATCAAATCAGAAATGTTCTAAATATGATTAAATTTAAAATGTTAGAATCTATCGTAATTCAAACGTCATTTTGAAATAGAATTGTTTGTAGTAGCCAACTAAAAGAACTGTTTATTAATTCGAACCTTGTGAAATTTTTTATTTTGGAGTTACCTTTCGAGAATGAAATAAGAGAATAACTTTGACATTGTGATATCTCAGTTTAAGGTGAGTATTTTATTTTTACGTTGACTGTATCGATTTTCGCATACCGACATTACCTAATTCGTTTCTCTTCGAACACCATTATATATTGAGAGTACTTTCACAGATATCTTATTACTATAGTTTAACATAATTTAATGACTATCCGAAACTTTGCACACATGTTATAGAAAAAATTCATGAAGACAATTCCTGAAAATATTCAATAAAATTGATCTTTAAAATATTTTTGAAAATAATTTATGAATATTAATATTTAGTTAGTGTAATAAACATAAGTGATAGGAAAGATAGTGTTCGTTATGTCTCGATAATGGCATTGAAAGGCAACAAATAAATGTCATAATAAAACAACAAAATAAAGCATATCTGTGAAAAACTTTTTTTTCTCTTTGCAGTTCATTGATTTCTGAAACGAATAAAATTTATATGTATTAAGTCAATAGAAGAATAAAATATCAAAAAACAAAGATATGTACTCAAATATCGATGACTATTTTTCCAATAGATATTAGATTTGATTTACATATTAATAATGAAAAAATGTTAATAGACAAATTTAAGAAATAATAACATGTTTCCACATTGTCCCATCTAACGACGAAAGGTAACCAATTGTTCAATCGTCTTTTAACCGAAACCTAATGGATTATAAACCATCGATCATATTGATTCCAAATATGAACACGATTTTTATCTGTAGACCTTTAAAAACCCGGTTTTCTATAATGAAAAATTTTCTTGGTCCATCTAGTTTGTAGAGTGCCATACTATTAAATATTACTGTGTCGAACACATATTGCTATTGCACTACGATATACTCTGTCATTATATTTAGACATGTATAACACATGCTGTAGTTTATCGGAGAACTCTGAATTCCGATC